TTCCCCCTTTTGGGGGGGGGGGGGGGTTCAAAGCAGCCTACTGTAAGTGCCATTTTTCTATGAAATCTTGCATTTTAATTCAGGCAATCATACACAGTTTGCATTTTCTTATATATTTTAATATCGAGTAATTTCTTTCTCAAAAAGTCTTTACTGGCGGGCTCCGTGGCCTATTGGTAAAGGGAGCCACGTCTCACAGATCCAGCCATTGGAGTCCCTACCCAGAAGCTGAAAAATGCTAAGACTGAAAAATGCTGGACAATTATGGGTTCTTGCCCAATTTCCCCACAGGATGAAGAAATGAGAAGAAATTGTAGTATGACCATGCCCCATTGAGGGTGCTTGCTTTCTTTTCCCCTCTCTGTATTTTTCTGGCTAGGACATGTGCTTTCTGGCAATTAAGAAAAAAAGGCTTTATACCAAAGTTCATGTAAGTTTAGTAAGATATACTGAGTTTTGGCCATGTTCTAGGGAGCTGTTAGAAGCCCCAACATCTTTAATCAAAGGTACTTTTCCTATCCTAATTTGAGAAACAAAGAACCATATTTTGGGGGCACAGAAATGGAGGAGAGAAAGTAGAGGAGATGAGGTTGGATTCAGATGACTTAATCAGCCTTGAACTTGATCTCTCTTCTGAATTTAGTGGTGATCTCTAGGTTTTTTTTTTTTTTTTGGTTTGTTTTTGTTTTTATCTATTTATTTACATTTTTATACATTCAATCACATTATTTAGCTTAGAAGGTGAACATTTCAATATGTGAACATTTTTCCCCGTTTCAGTTGATCAAAATATAACAACACTACCTCCCTGTCTCGACAATGCTGTCTCTGTATGGGGCCTGTGGAAGGTGATCTCTAGTTTTAAACTGGAGCCTGATCTAGTCAGGTTTCTTTTTTAGGCTGATTGTCTTTAAGACTTGAAATAGGGAGATTATTTAATTTTCTGGAGTTTCCAAAGGGTAACCAGGCTAACTGACGTAGAGATAGGAAATAGGTGACAAATTTGAGAAATACAGATGTAAAGCAGTCAGAAGTTGGTGACTGATGATGGATATTAGGAGTGAGGAAAGAGATTCCAAGTGTCTCTTTGGTTGGATAGTGGGAAAAATATAAATACAGCTAAGTAGTTAATAGAATGCATTCAGGGTGTATTTTATATTTAATGAAATTTTAAATATAAAGGGCCTTCAAAAATTTATGGAAAATATGTACGATGAAAAAATATGCATGAATTTCAAATATTTTTTACACCACAATAAACTCGTGCTTATATTTCATTTTCCCATGAATCATTTGAAATATGTGCTTAGTTTGTTATAGTCTTAAACCATTTTCATTAAGTTTATTTTTGGATATTATATAATTTCTTGTTACTGTGAATGTGTTCTTTTTCCCTTGTAAATTTATTATTACTACTATTTTAAAAAGTACTGAGTTTTCGGGAACCAGCAGTTAACTTAATGGCTACGTCGCTGGACTCTCATGTAGTCGACCACGGTGCGCGTCCGGGACCTGGTGGCTTAAAACTCACGCTGGGCGCATGTGCTTGCATGCCCAAGATCCCAAGAGGAGAATGGAGGAGAAGGGATTGCCAGCCCTGTGGGGGGGGGGGGTGATTTCTCGCTTTCTGTCTCTATGTCTTTGTCTGTCTGGTGAGCGCACACACCCTATAG